ATCAGAACAATTAACATGAAACGCAGTTCTTAAATGTTGGGCTTGATAATGACTTTCCCACAATTGCTATTTTGGGTCCTTTCTTACTAGCCTGAGGAAATGACAAGATTGAGAAGCATGAACAGACAACTCCAGATAAATGTTGACTGTACACTGAAAGAAGTTGACCTCCTTCAATCTAGAGGTATAGACTTGATTATTTGGTAAACCATAAGTTAATAGTGTGGTATTTTTAAGCTGCGTAAATAGCAATAATTTTGATTTTGTAGATTTAAGAGACAATTTTTGTCCATTATAAGATTATAATCCTTATAAAAGAGATCACCCTTGCCCTTGCTCATGGATCAGATTTGGGGGATCAAAAAACAGTTTTACTTTGGTGATTTCATCATTATTCTTACCTAAAGTGTTTTATGTCATGTCTTTGCATTTATTCCTCTTACTGTGAATGTTTTATAAAGCAATGCATTTTAAGATATAGTACAGTTTAGTCAGCCATCTAAAATATCTGAAAAAAATGGGGAATCCCAAATCAGTTTATCAGATGTTTCAGCTTTAAATATTGTATGCCATTTTTTTGTTTGTTACATGAAGAGTTTTAGTGTTTTGATTTCTTACATTAGTATACTACTGAAGAAGCTCTCAACTTTCATTTACCCAGTTCACTAGATTAGAGACAGCCTTCATCCATTTCCTCTAGGAAATAAAGTGATGTGAGTGATATGCCCATGTACCATTGCTTTCATCGGTCAAATTGTCTGCTTACCATGAGTCAGTCCCCAACACTGTTTCTGCCAGTTACCATACTTCTGTAATTTAATGTTTCATAAACTGAGATGAATCCAGAGAAAGCCTGTGTCTAAAAACCAAAGGCAAATGTTTTTTTAAGCCTCAAAGACAAAACCCTGAAAAGATAAGGGCTATGATAGGAACTAAAATCATAAAAATCTAAAAGGATTCTCAGTGATTTATAGAAGTGTCCTTAGAATCTTTCTTGCTCCATTCTAAAGAAATCAAAACAGAAAATTTGCAGATCTGGGGTTTAGCATACTATGGTCTGCTGTTTTATTTATTAATAAAATTTTAGTGAAATGATAGCTATCCCCATTTGTTTGTATGTTATCTATGGTTGCCTTTGTGCATCAGTGGCACAAATGCAACAGAGACTGTATTACAGGTCCACAAAGTCTAAACTATTATCAGACCCTTGACAGAAAAACTGTGCTGACCTTTGCTTTTGGTCACCCAGGGTTTGGTTTACATAAGATAATATGGAACTTCAGCCATAAAGAAAAGGTCTTTGTCTAAACATTAAACTATTGCTTTATCCATTTTTTTACATTGAAGTTGATGCAGATTTTTCCTTAATGTTTTAGCCAGCCTTTTCCCCGAGCCCCCACAATTTCTCTTAATTATGGCAGCTAAGAGAGCTTCTATGATCTTTTAAGAATATACAATATAGTATCTCATTGCCACTTCTAGGCAAGACTGAACAGTAGAGGCAGGAGAACACAAACAAAATGGAACTGTCTGAACAATAAATAGAAAAATTGGACTGTGAAAGTTGAGCAATCTAGTCAAGTACCCTTGAAGTTATTTTCAGAAGCTTAGTCACTGTGTAGCCTGATAGCTTTAAGCAGTGAAAGATTTACTATGCATAACATGTAGGTTATAAAGACTCTTGCTACTATACCATAGAAATTTACATCTATTTTTTTTTTACTTGAGTGGTCTTTGAAGCAAAACAAGAAACATTTAACTCAAAAATTTGGTTAGGATATTTATAGTAAACCTTATGGGATCTAGAAATTAGAATATTAGCTGTGACTTAAGGAATCGGAAATACATATGTAGCATTTTATCATAAACAATCCAGTTACTACATCAGATAGCATCATGGTATTTATGAGCTACCATAGGAATTATTTACAGGAAATTCTCCCAAAATAAAACAACATATCCAAGTGGATAAACTACTTGTAATAGGACCTGCAAAGGGGGAACCACTATTAAGGTTTTGTAAGTAAAGAGCTGTGTTTTGGGGCTTTGTTGGGCAATGACCTTGCAGTTAGCTCTTTTTGGTACTGAAGCATTTCCAAGTCTCTTTACGGAAGGGGTCCAAACCTAGCTAATTTATACTGAATTCTTTTTATACACTCTAGAAAACTTTTTATACCAGGTTGACCAAGTTTCCAGTCTGAACTTTCTTTTTGAGGTATAGTGGGTGGCATTTAGACTAGATACAAATCAGTGCATACATTGATGAAAAGTAACTTCTGGTAATAATTTTTGAGGAAAAAAGTTTAGAAATCAGGACTTAACTATTTAGTATAATTAAATTGTCGGTATCCTACTCCATCCTCTGTAAATAAACAAACTTTTACTGGAATTGTGTAGAACAACCAGAGTACAGAGAGAGAAATTAGGACTCACACTAGGAGAAATGGTTGAAATGCAGACCAGTGTCTGTATCAGGGCATGAATATCTTAGAAGTGAAAAATTGTGTGGCAAGACAAATTTCTCAAGGAATGTTCTATACTGAAATTGGCACATCATCTTTTATCATTGATAAATCATATGGGCTACATTAAATTTAATATTGAAGTTAAGATTATCCAATTTTGAAAATAAGTAGCAGCTCATGGATTCCTATTTCACAGTTATCCAGGTCACTTAGCTATCTCAAAATAATTTTTTGGCCTCTTCCATAATGGATAAATTTTTAAGGTAAATTATGAAAGACATGAAAGTGAGCCTTCACTATTTGTCTTCTCTTATGGTTTGTTCATTAAATTAAAACAGAATACAGGTCAGCCATCCTTTCATTTCTTCATTTACCTCTTCAAATGCCCAACATGCTTAATCCTGCCTGAGGAGACTAGCTTTACATTTAGAGAAATATTCCTTCAAGTAACACATTGGAGACAAACACTGATGTGGTTTTCTCAGTTCTTTTTTCACAGTGATTAAAAAAAAAACACAATTTCAGTGGGAGGACAGAATAGTATAATGAGATTTGAAACCCTGGAAAACATTCTCCCTTCTTATGTCTTTGATTTTTTTTAAAAAAGAAAATATATAAATAGCAGAAGAAAAAGTCTTAAATGCCTGGTTGATTTTATTTTATTTATAGGAAACTTTGATCCAAAAGCCATGAATAATTTTTATGACAACATAGAACCTGGTCCAGTTGTACCACCAAAACCATCCAAGAAAGGTAAGTAGGGACATGCCACAATCATTGTAGAAACAAATGACAAAATTCTTTGAAACTGAAGAAATTTCCATTTGAGATCTTTAGCTCGTTCAGCATAAACAAAGTTACCATCTTGATGTCACCATAGCAAGGCAATAATGTTACATCCCTAAATGTTAATTTTTTAAAAGCACACAATTGAATGGAATATATAATTTTATTGAAGCTGTATTATATAATTAATGGTACAAAACAATAGGAATTTCAAAGGTCTAATGTTAAACTACAAAGTTAGATTTGTAATAGATCTGAGATTATTTTGTAGGCAACAGGAGTCCTTGTGTACTCAGAAGTTGAGCATAACAATTAGGGGAGGGGAGGGGTGTTTTCTTATCAAGGACAAAATAAATTCTATATAACAAACATTTTCAGATTTTTTTATGTAGAAATGGTTTAATATCATCAAAATCTGTTTTATTTGAAATGCATTCTGCTGTCATGTACAACTAAGTAGAATAATTTTTTAAAAATCTGTTCTATTTTTATGTATCAGTGTTTAAATTAAGATATTATAATGCCAAGTAATCAAATTAATTTGCGTTATTAAATGTAGGTAACATTTCTATCCCATTATTAATGAGCAGCCCAAGTTGCTTCATAATTATAGTTCTAGACTGAATTGAAGTATACATTTCATATTTTAGTCCTTTTTGTTTTAAGCAGTTCAAACTATTGATTAAAGACATTCTGAAGAGTGAATATTTTTAAAATCTTAGATTTGTTTTAATTAAGCCATATATAAATTCCATCTAAATCATATAAACTGAGCTAAGAAATTTTGATTAATAACTTCATGAGTAATGTTTAGATACCCATTTTTCAAGCCTGACATGCAGATACAATACCAAATTAACCCCACTAAGACTTTTTACCCCCGCCCTTTTTTCAGGGGGCAGTACTGGTGATTGAACCCTGGGGCACTGAATCACTAGGCTATACCCCTACCCAGCACTTTTTTTTTTTTTTTTTTTTTAAGTTTTGGGACAGGGTCTCCCAAAGTTGCTGAGGCTGGCAATGAACTTGCAATCCTCTTGCCTCAGCCTCCTGAATAGCTGGGATAACAGCTGTGTTCCACCATACCCACTAAACTTTATTTAACAAAATTGATTCTAAAATTCAAATGGAAATGCAAAGCAATCTTGAAAAAAAAAAAAACAAAAGCCAGAAACCTTAAGCTAACCAACTTTAGGACTTAATTATAAAGCTAAGGTAATTACAGTGTGATGCTGGCATAAGAATAAAGAAATTGAACACTAGAACAGAACAGAAAACCTGGATATAGATCCCCCACTCAACTGTCAGTTGATATTTTGATAGAAGCAACCAACAGAGAAAGGAAAATCTTCAACAAGCAGGACTGGAAGAACTGAATATCCTTGTGGGGAAAACACAAATTTTGATCTCTGCCTCACATCATCATTATAATACAAAAATCTTAATTTGTTGTTCGTACACCTAAGTGTTTTTAAACACTAAGCTTTATAAAGCTTCCAGAACAAACATAGTATCTTTGCTACTTGGGTGTACTTAAAGTTTAAACAGGACACAAGAAGCAATAAACACAATTGATCAACAAACCTTCATTAAAATTCAACACTTCTGCTGGAGAGACTCTTGAGAAAATGAAAAGGCAAGCCACAGACTAGGAGAAAATATTTGAGAAGTATGTCTGAATAAAAAATTGGTATCCATAGCCTAAAGAACTTCTACAAGACAATAGTAAAGAGACAAAAAACACCCGACTTTAAAAAGCAAAAACATTTAATCAGACCTTCACAAAGGAATACACATGAAAGACCATATACAAAGAAATTTCTTGAGGCGACATGATAGATCTGTTGCCAAGAGCCTGTTGAGTCTGAGTGGTGATTTTCTAGCAGTGGTAGTGATAGTGTCAATATGTCATTTTGTTTTCTGTCTCTGGGACCAACACCATGTAATTGAGGTAGGAGGTTCCTGTTTGGTATCCTCCTTGGCTAGAAATTGTGCAAGGCTTGCATTGATATTCCATGATGTAGTCTCATAAATATCAACCTTCATCTAGCTCTCTACAAGTACTTGTACACTAAAAAGGTTTTTTTCATGGCTTGTTTAATTCAAATAAAATTTGCTAAAGCTGATATTGGATAGTCCCATGAAGTTAGCTGTAATGGGTCCAGTTACAACCCATTTCTTAAATATGTATCAGATGCTCATATGTAAATTATACAGATGCTTGATTCTAAGACTCCTACCCTAAGCAGTTTCTACTCTATATGTACAGTTTTAATATAAAAGACTAGAAAGACACCTAAAACATTTCACAATATTTTATTTTAGAAATTTGTTTTAATTATATACTAGCATAAGCTATTATAAATGTCAGTAAAAAAATTGTACTATTTACCATAGTTTCTGAACTTTCACATTTTTTCTGTTAAAATTTATAATAAAACTTGATTAAGTTCTCCAATTTCATTGGAAGCCTTTTCATAACAGGTTTCTCAAAAGCTACTCATTTTTCTTTATGAATTCAAATTTGTTTTCTTTTAGGCACTTGCATATTTTCCACTTTGTTTTTTAAACTAACATGGCCTTTGTAAAAGTACATCTAGTTTAGCACAGAATGATTGCAATAGTACTCAGTAACAAACCAAATGAATAAAATGCTCACAACTGGTAGAAGTGGCATATTGGTTTGAATAAATGTCTTGGAGTTATATGCAAGAAATCCATATGGAATATAGAAGTTTATGTGCATAAATGTGATAAAGAAAGAGACAGAAGACAGACTTTTTTGAATTGGACTTGGCAGTTAAGCAATACAGTGTGTATTACCCCTCAGGTGACTCAGCAAGTCTCCTCACTTCCCCATTGGGAACTCATACAGTGGCAAGAGCACTGACCTTGGCTTCCCAGATACTAAGTACTGATTCTGGTCATCTTAGCCACATGGCCTTGTTCAGCTCTAATCTGCACCACAGTTGATCTGTTCAAATATTTACCAGGATATTTTACAAGGTTTTTGTAAGAGTTAGTGACATGTAGGCATGTGATGCTGTAAAAGTGCTTTACAAAACCTAAGAAATAGAACTTTACCCTTGTTTGTTGGGGTCTATGGAAACATTGACTCTGCTCTTCTTTAATTCTGATAATGGAGTGTTGGGAGTGTTTAAGCATCATGCTTAGAATTCTAGAACAGTGATCTCCAAAGGTGTTGCATTAGGGGATTGCACAGGGGCTCCAAACCAATTAGAAAATGCAATACTTTTCTTTGATTCTTAAATGCAAAAATAATATGAAGTCTGCCATTTTTCATTTTTACTTAATACAAAGATTATTTACTAATAACCTATTAATTCATAGAAACATTCTAGCAAGAAGTCAGGATACATACAATTATTGCCTATGTTGCAAAATGACTGCTGCAGATGTGGGTAATTAGAATTCATGAAACAATTTGGGAGCACAGGTTTATCAGGACATAGTATTATTTTGAGTCAGTTTTGACTTAAAGAGCAAGAATAATAGTACTTAAACTATAAAATCTGTATTTCATCATCATTATTGTAATAGTTAGCCTTGTATGGATAGTCTGTTTTCACCCTATAATTTCCTGTTAATTATTGCTTAATTGGAGAATTACTGTATTGTAATCTTCCTAATTTTACTTCCACATTGACATTTCATTGCTATCACTGTTTGTACCCCTAATCCACTAACAAGTAGGAATCTGATAAAATAGGCCATTGGTTCTGGGTAATCAGAGAATGGAAAATGTTGTAAGAGCCAGGTTGTGGCTCAGGTTGCAGTGCAGAATTAAATGTAGTATTTGCCCTCACAGGACAACTAAAGGTAGCATGAAGTGATAGGAAATGTACTCAGCTGTGTGGTTGCAGGAGTAAACCTTGTGAGCCTTTTTACTCTTGCTAAAGAATCACTTGATCTCTTCTTACTGGCTTTGCTTTTTTCCTTTTTTTTTCTTTTTTTTCTTTTTTTCTTCCTTTTTTTCCTTTTTCTTCTTTTTCTTCTTTTTTTTCCTTTTTCTTTCCTTTTTTTTTTAAATAAACAGACTCCTCAGACCCCTGCACAATTGAGAGAAAAGCTCGAAGAATTAGTGTGACCTCCAAAGTACAGGCGGATGTTCATGACACCCAGGCAGCAGCTGCAGATGGTTTGTACTTGTGTGTCCAGAATGTCCACAGACACATGTTAACTTATGTAGAGTTACCATAAAAGTAAAACCAAACCTTTAATTTTTGCTTTCAAAAATTATTCCCTAAGCCAGGAATAGGGGGCACACACCTATAATTCCAACTACTTGGGAGGCTGAAACAGGAAGATTCCAAGTTTGAGTCTTAACAACTTAGCAGGACCCTAGAGATATAGCTGAGTGACAAAAGTGCCCCAGGGCTCAATTCCCAGAAGCCACCCCGCTACCCTGAAAATTTTTTTTTCTCTATACAGAGTTAAATTTTAAGGCTATGCTGTCCAATTGAAATATTTTGCAAGCCATGTATATAATTCAAAATGTTCTAGTAATCACCCTAAATAGTAAAAAAAAAAGATTTTAATATATTTTATTTAATCCAATATACATAAAATATTTCAATATGAAATCAGGGTAAAGTTAGTGATTTTTATCCACTTATAGTACATCTCAAATCAGACTCATCATCTTTGAAACACTCAGTGGCCACCATATTAGGTGGATCAAGCTCCAAGGAAATAGCATATAGAGAACAAGGCCAAATAAACAATTTCAAAATGACTTGAAAGTTCTGGATTATTATGAACTTCTCACTGAAATTTTCTAATGGTTTATCCTGGCATTCAGTTGAAATGAGATTTCTAAAAGTATTGTATGTTTGTGTTTGTGCAAGTATACTACTTGCTAGTTCTTAAATTCCCCTTAATGCAGCAATTGAAACAAGAGAAATGAGCCCATCTTTTTTATGTAGTCATAGGAATAGGGTAAAGAACCCAGCAATTTTTAGTCATTGTATAACTAAGATCAACCTTCCCAATAGGGGCTGAGCCTTATCATAGGGTAAGGTTCAGAATCTGAACCTCAGTTCTCATGGAATGGTCACACTAGTCATTTGCCATGAAAGACAAATTGATAACCCAGAAGTAAGCTAGTTAATTTTTAGTGGGAAATATGCTAGCCCAGAACCATAACTGACAGAGCTTTCCCATATCTCAGTTTATTTTTGTTAACTATTTGGAAAGATTGCTTACCTTAGATCTTAATCGTATTTCCAGAACATAGTGAGGGTTTCCAGTGTCCTATAGGTGGACATTCCCAGCCTCTTGATCTTACCCCAGATTCCAGGGAAGATTTCATCAGGAGACCTTTAGCCTTCTCTTCACTCACCCTGCTCTTAATAGGGACTGTTCCTAAAAGACAGGATTTACAAATGGACCCTAGAAGCAGAGCCTTTTTAAGTGTGATGATTAGGGAGAATGAAGATTTAACACAAATACAAGTTTCGAATTTTTAAAAAACCTTGGAGGCCAACTTAAATTTGCCAGCATTTGATTTTGCAAATTATATACATTTTTTCAAAATATATGAAGGACATTTGAATGCCAAAGAAGAAAGAAAGAATCTGGGAATAATAGCCTTTTATATTGAATGTAATTTGGCTTTCAGAAAAACTGAAGTCTTTATCTTTTCACTATTCTGGGGAAATTTTTCTTATGAACTGTCCCCTGCCATTTATGAACCATTAGTACAAAGTACATGTGTATTGGAGTTTAAATATCTCATAAGAAAAGGCACATATATCAGATATTTACTATATTATGTATATAGTAACAGAAAAAAAACTCCAGGTAGGCCGAGATCGTCAGGGAAGACATGTTTTCTTCCATGTCAATTTTTTTTTTCATTTGGCTGGAATAAAGCATAAATATCCACTATCTATGAGTAATCTTTTAGGAAGATAATCTGTTCTGGACTTCTGTCCATCATTTTTTTTTTTCATTTTGGCAGTGCTGGGGATTGAACCCAGGGCCTTGTGCATGCTAGATATTAGCTATATCCCCAGCCCCCTTTTTAATTTTGAGGCAAGGTCTTGCTAAATTGCCCAGGCTGGTCTTGAAATTGTCATCCTCCTGCCTCAGCCTCTCAAGCAGCTGGGATACAGGTGAGCAACACCACACTCAGCTTCTGTCTTATAGCAAAAAAAAAAAAATGAACTATTTAGAACAAACTTTATATTTTGCATTCTGCTCAGTTATGCTTTTCTAGTAGATGTGCTTACTAAGTGCCTTACACATAAGGCAGAAAGTTACATCCCTTGCTTTTTGGATTGTACTTGGGAAAAAAACAAACTTTATCTTTACCCCCCTCTCTCTTTAATCTTCACTTCCCTCAGAGAATCTAACTGGCTCCACACACAGTCCTCGGATACAACCCCGAGATGAAGACTACGAAGGGGCTCCGTGGAATTGTGACAGCTGCACCTTTCTTAACCACCCAGCACTAAATCGCTGTGAGCAGTGTGAGATGCCACGGTACACTTGAATTCAGAAGAGTTGGCACCAGGTTAAGAGAGAAACTTTTTGAGCACCATGAGAAAAGGAAACCTCAGGAGTCTATTCATCTGCCCAGCCTTTTCATTTTCAATTGCACGGGGGGTGGGTAGGAGGAGGAATGGCACTGTGGTCACTGTGCTCACAAAAGGAATATGGTGAGGTCTTTTTTTTCCTTTCTTAACTCATTGCAGAGTTAGAGGTAGAAAGGAATACTTGAAACTGGGGAAGGATTCACTCCTGAAAGAATGTACACAGAGCTAAGTCAAGAGCTCTTCTGTGGAATCCCAATTGTTAAAGTTACTGCTGAGTGGCCCTTATGTTTTTTTTTTTTAAGTCAAACCTTGAATGATATTATGAAAAGTTAACAGTTTATGCAGACAAACTGTGAATTCCAGAGTAGGCTTACCTGGCCACAGCTCTCTGGAAAACCAAGGCTCCCTGTGCTTCTTCCCATGCTTCCTATGAAGAGAAGGACAGGAAAAAGCACCCAGAATATGATTTTTTTTTTGCAAAATAATAGAGATATTTTTAATTGCTGCTTTTTTCAGGGGTAATTTCAAACACAAACAATATGTTTTAAAATGTGATTTGTAGCAGTCAGGAATTAGGCATATTATGCCCATCATTGGAAAGTACAATCAGAGGTGGTAAGATCCCTTTGGCTTGTACAAGGTTTCATCAAGCTATATCAACACTGGTAACTAAGACCTAATTATGCCATATAAGAGAGATATTTTTAAGTTACTGTATGCTTTTATTAGGCCGTTTTAAAAAATATAAAATCATACTTTGTAAGGATTTGTTAAATGACATTCTTGTAAAACTGCGCTTTGCCAATAGCACAGTGAATGTATGCCAAATGCAAGTCCATTCCAAAATCTATTTGGAAATCTTGAGCTCAGCTGTGGTTCTTAAGAAATGTTTGCAGTTCATAGGGCTTTTTTTTTTTTGCCTCCTTCCAATTTTGTGATGAATTCATGATGTTTACAGCACAGATAATACTTTGTGCCATAATCCTAATTTAGCTGAAGAAAAAAATCAATATTAGCTGTTCAATAAAGACTTATTTACACATGTTATAAACCAATGTGAGGGAAATTACAGTTGGCCAATATCAAAGTTGCACACTGCATTGTTTGGGGAGCAAGAAAAAACTGGTTAGGAAATATCGGATGGGGGTGTAGCTCAGTGGTAGAGCATATGCTTAACATGCACAAGGCCCTAGGTTTGACCCCCAGTATCACGAAAAGAAAAAAGATGAATACAAGAGTTTTAAATGAACAACTTTTTAAATAAAAGTGCTTTCAGAGATCATATTGAATTTGTCCAGGCATCACAGCAATCTATGAAACAGAACTTCAAGGTTTGGATAACTGAAGAGATAAAATCATGTGACTCATTAGGGTGCACCACTGGAAATTTAATAGCACATCTAAATAAGGTCTCTGCCACTGTTCAGTTTCCTTCTTGGCTCAGAATTGAATTTTAAAATCCAAACCCCTCGTTTTGGTGAATATAAACAGCAGTAAAGTTGGTAGATTTTCCCATTCTGAAGCATTTTGGCTAAGGTTATAACCTTAGGAAACCAGCAGGTGCCCCCCCTATACACACACACACACACACACACACACACACACACACTTTGTGTTCTCATTGTATTCTAATTTAGCAGTAATCTCTGGCAGGCTTGGAAAAACAAGCTGCACTTAATAGCATAATGAAACCAAAGGCATAACTCATCATAGTTTTCCATCAAATCATAATTTCATACTCTGCCTACAGCTTTGAAAACATTTTTTCATATGTGGAAAACTCCCCAAAATATGTCCACTCGTCTCCCAAAGTTAACTGTGGTTATGTAATTACACTGATAAAACATTTCTCGTTCAACAATTGTGGCAAAACTGTGAAAAAGATGGTGAGAAAGCAGACAGGCTTTAAAGCATGGACTTGAAAACAGTTTTTTTTTTTTTTAAACAGGCTTTTTCTGGTATCTGTCAGTCTCCAACAACAGTCCAGCAGTCCTACTATCCTGTAAGATTCCTTTGCCTCTGTGTGGTTTTGTATCATGTTAGTGGTGGTCAACCCCACTTGGTGTTAATAAACAATTTAGGGGGACAAACCTATATATACTGCTTGGTGTTCTAGCTAAAAGGTTTACCAGTATTCATAGTGATATGCTGAAGTGGCAGCAATTAACTTGGCACTTGTCAGTTGAAATGAAAGTAGCATGTTTGAAAATAGTCAGATGCTTTATTAAAACCATGTAGATGACTTTAAAACTATTGCATGAAAATACATCCAGGTTAATAAGCTGTTATCATACAGTAGACGCATGGTTTCAGTCCTTTGATGACATGTAGTCAATCATTGCTTTCCTGCCAGGAAAAATGAGAAAACAGTCCATTTGCTAGGTGTGGAAGGTGGGGTATGAGATATCAGAGATTGGTTTTAAGGAAGTTTTGTACATGTCAATTTGTGATTGTGCACAAGTTTCATCTGCCAACTTAGGCCGTATTCAGTTTTTTAAAATATACATATTGTTTGACACTGATAAATTTGCTATGTTTAACTGTATCCCATAGACTTCTTCTTGCCTATGACTAGATTGAGTAAGAATCCACCCAGCTTTCAAGGTATCTTTTCCAAAGGATCTCCTAGTCAGATTGGTATGCATAAACAATTGGTAGGAATTAAGTTGGGTGATCCCTGGCCACTGAGGCGCCTACGCCCTTTGGTTGAGTTGGTGAACTCCTTGTTTCTTGTAAGAGATTTTCTTTCTTAAAATACAACTGGTTTGATGTATCTGGTAACATATAGACCTGACTATACATTTTACATTATTTCACTGTTTCATAACTGGGTTTTTAGAAAGCACGTTTGCCATTCTGCTATAGTACATTGCCCCTTAAATTTTGGAGTTCTTAAAAGTTTAAAGTGGTAATAGAGGAGCCAGAAACTTTCTAAGCATTGTAAAATGTTGATATTGAGCTAGTATGGGAGAGAGTAGAGGCAGGAGATTTTAAAGAAACAAAAGAAATGCATTGTAAAAATGTAGTTTTAGAGCAGATTAATGATGGTGGGGAAAGTGTTGCTAATTTGTTTATTTCCCTGGAAGAAATGGGAAGTGTGATAAGCAGTTTAATTTTTAAGGAGCTGGTCTCAATTTTAGTACTTTTTAATTATAAATCGATGTTTCCTTAAATTTTGTCATTGCTTTGTCACAATTATCTAGGGTTCATATCCAACTTTCTGTGGCAACTCAATTTTATATAGTCTTTTAAAAGGTAATTGTAATGTCTTGCTGACGGTATAAACAAAAAGCAAGAATATAAGACATAGAAGAATTGTCCTTTAAAAATTATCAATGATGTATCCTGGAATGTGAAGATGTCCTTTTATAGTTAAAAATTATTTTAATATTGTACCATTGTTAGACCTTGAATGAGTCTATGTTACAGTGTGTGTATGTATATCTGTAGAGAAAGGAAAATGACAAGTGAAATGCTACTTTAAAAAAATCAAAATCGGGCACTGTCTGTGTTGCACCACTACTGTATCTTTTTGAAAGAATTAACAGTATTTTCCTATTGTGAAAGTTAATTCTGATGACGTTTTCACATTCACCAGAAATTTTTTTCTGTATTATTTGCATCCCCAAATATTTAATACAAGTAGATTTTGCATGGCTTGGGCATTCAGAGATTAATAGAATGATGAGTCAATTTTAATTTCTAAAGCCATGAAAAGTTGCTTTGAGACTGAGCAATTCTGAATTCTTATTTATAAGAACACGCAATGTCCATGTTTCTTTCCCTACTGTAAAGGAATTGATCAGTTTCTTCATTAAAGCAGCAAGAACTTATTAAATCTTGTAAATACCATGTCTCTTAGATTTCTGTGTATGCTGTGAATGAAATTATTTTGAGATGAAATTGTACAAAGGCATTTTAAAAGGCTATGCATGCATCGTACTTCCAAACAGTACATATTCAGAAAGTCAAAAGTTTCCTGAAAAATAAATTAATAAACTAAAAGCAAACACTACATTCTGCATCTTTTCTGTATAGTTAGAAATAATTCATAATATCAAGCTAGTTCTAGTTCTAAACATTTCTGGATGCACTAACTTAACCATCACATTTCATCTTTTTAGAACATTAGTAATGTTAGACGTGGGTAAGTATTAAGTGCACATTGTTCTGACTTGAAAATTTGTGGGTGAGTGTGTGTGTGCGCGCATGTTTTTATAAGTTGGAACATGTTAGAAACTTAATACTTTTTTCATTCCACTTAATGTTATTTACCGACAAACTGTTTTTCTTCTTTACATTTTTTTCTTTTTTGTAGTACTGGGGATTGAATCTAGGGGCACTCTACCACCGAGCCACACCCCCAGCCCTTTTTATTTTGAGTCTACATCTTGCCAAGTTGCTCAGGCTGTCCTGAAACTTGGCAATTTCCTATCTCAGAATCCCTAATAGCTGGTGTTACAGGGCCCTGCCACTGCATCTAGCTATTGATATCATTTGTAATTAGTTTTCCAAAGGCAAACAGAGGTTCTGTCACTTACCTTGCCTAGGGTCTGAAGTAAACCTTCCCAACTTTTTGCACAGAAATCACCACAGATGAATTCTATTAGACAACTCTTTTGTGATTAAATACATTTAAAAAATCATTTCTAGGGCTGGGGCTGTAGCTCAGTGGTAAACCACTTGCCTCACATGTGTGAGGAGGCACTTTGTTCAGTCCTCCGCACCACATTAAAAAATGATATTGTGTGTCCATCTACAACTAAAATTTTTTAAAAATAATTTCTACATTTTATATACATACAGAAGTATAGGATTGTATAATGATACCCCATTTATTCATTACCCAGCTTCCAAAATTAAATACATATTCTTATTTCATCTATATTCTTATCACCTCTCACTTTTCCCTGGATTATTTTAAAATAAATCCCAGACATCAGTTCATTTGGAAATACATTTTAACATAAGCACATTGTACTCATCACACCTTATAGAATTACTGCTGTTTAAATATTGAATATCCAGTGTTTTAAATTTCCCAAGTCTCACACATTTTTAAAAATAAGGTTTCTCAAATTATAGTATAGATGGAGTACTTGAAATTTGTCATGTCTCACAATGTGCAGTATGTGTGTATGCATGCACATCCTCAGAGTTTTCTTCTCTCCAGGAAACTAGTCATTTATTAACTGGAATATCTTCTAAGGAAACTTTTCTTCATCACCTATTTAGTTATACCCTACCACATCTTAGAATAAATGTCAAAGATAACTTTAAAAGTAGTAAAGTGTTTTTAACTCCAAATCAATTCCCACATCCTAGGTTGCCTTAAGCAGTTGAATTATTTTTAGTTACTTCAAATGTTCCGTTAGCACAGATGTGGTTTGCTGTGGTATCTGTTTTGTAGAGATATCCGTGAGGACT